CTCTGTCCTAGTGGTGAATGAGAACCAGAGGCCTGGGTGAGGCAGGGGTGCATTCCTCCCCCAGCCATCCCCGGGTCCCCTGAATCACAGCCGGGCGGGTTTGGGTAGTGAGCCATCGCCTCCCGGGTGAGTAATGAGGGACCGTCTTCCATACATTTTCCCCGTGAGCTGGATGGCAAATTCAATTAGTTATCTCGGAGGACAACCCGTAAATATTATCAGGACGTAAAATATTGCGGGCATTTGGGAAGGAAATACATTCATCTAAATATTGATGTTTTTCAACTGAGAATTGGAATTTCAGAGCAAAAAGCGGCTCAAGATACAACTTGTGCAGGCTTCCTGGGTCCGCGAGGCGCGATGGAGGGCCCGGCAGGATCCGTTTGGTTCGCTCGTCCATCCTGCCAGTCAGGAGAGGGACAGGATCAGAGGAGGCCTCTCTGCCAGACCCGGGGAAGGCCTGGGAGTTGGAAACCACAGCACAGTCGCTAAGATTGGAGACTGTGCAACTGAAGAGTATGTGAAAAAGACAGGCAAGCCGACCACTTACACCTGGGTGCTGACTGTGAGGGCAGCGGAGCCCAGGGCTCTGGGGAGGACTTAGCCTGGCCGCAGGGGCATCAGGGAAGGCTGCCTGGAAGGGGTCACTTCTGAGCGATGAAGGAGCATCATCAAGTACGGGCCTGGCACCTGCCAGGTGTGTTCGGCCTACGCCTGTGCACGAAGAGGGGACGCTGAGGGCGTTTGGAGTCGCTGTTCACAAGGGCTGGAGACGCCAGCACCTCCTTCGAAGGCCAAGCTGGTCCTTTAAGTAAGGAACCAGGGGCAAGACTGCAGGGGGGGCGGCGACTGTGGCAGCCTGCTCCGTGCGTGCTGTGCACGTGCAGGGCCAATCATTCCTGCTGCCGGAGCTTTCAACACTTCCGAAGGAAGCTGAGCCCAGATCTGAGCTCCCAGTCTGTGTGAGTCAGCCACCCATTCACATGCTGGGCCGTGTTGGGGTGCGGTGGGTTAGGCTGCCGTTTGTAAGGTCGGCGTCGCACACTGGAACACCAGGTCGAGTCCCGGCTGCTCCACTTCCTTCCTCTCCAGCTCCCTGCTAATGTGCCCGGGAGGGCAGCAGCACACGGCCCAAGACGGTCCCTGCCACGCATGTGGTGGCGCAGGAGCTCGGGTCAGCCCTTAGTGTGTCGGGCATTTGGGGAGTGAACCAGCAAATGGAAGATCTCTCTCTCTCTCCCTCCCTCCCTCTCCCTCTCTGCCTCCCTCCCTCCCTCCCTCCCTCCCTCCCTCTCTCCCTCCCTCCCTCCCTCCCTCCCTCCCTCCCTCTCTCCTTCCCTCCCTCTCCCTCTCTCTCTCTCTCCCTCCCTCTCTCCCTCCCTCCCTCTCCCTCTCTCTCTCTCCCTCTCTCCCTCCCTCCCTCTCTCTCTCTCTCCACCTCTTTGCGGTCTTCCCGCCTCCATTTCGCTCTCTCTCCATCCCTCTCTCCCTGCCTCCCTCTCTCCCTCTCTCCTTCTCCCCCCATCACTCTACCTTTTGAATAAATATATAAATTAGACACCTTCCAGAATCCAACTCTACACATCTGTGGTGTGCTTGTGACTCTTAGCCTGTCGATGTGTGAGTTCTGCTTAGCCAGCCGGGAAACCTTAGTGGATGCTGTACTTCTATTCAATATTCCCCAACGCTGACTGCGGAGACAGGGCGTGGGGTTAAGAAGCACATGCCTGCTGTCGGCATTGCCACACCTGGTGTCGGCACCACCACGCCTGGGCCAGCGCTGTGATGCGGCAGGGGGAGCTGCCGCTTGCAATGCCAGCATCCCATGTCAGAGCGCAGGCGCGAGTCCCAGCTGCTCCATGTCCCACTCAGCCCCCTGCTGACGCACCTGCATGATGCCCCAAGCGCTTGCGCCCCTGCCACCCATGCGGAACACCCAGATAGAGTGTTGGGTTCCTGGCTTTGGTCTGCCCTAGCTCCAACTGTTGCAGCCATTTGTGGAGTGAACCAGCAGATGGAAGATTTCTCTCTCTCTCTCTCTCTCTCTCTCTCTCTCTCTCTCCCTTTCTCTCTTTCTGTAACTGTGCTTTTCAGATAAATAAATAAATCTTTAAAAATATTTTACTGAATATTTCTATTTCACTGAAATAAAATTAAATGTACGGATGGTGAGAAACTGAACCGGATAGCAAGCTAAGGTGAAGTCGCACACGCAAGTCACACACGGGAAGTGGAGGAAACCTGGCATTCGGGAAGCTGCCTGGCTGAGAGGTTGCGTGTGTGTGTGTGTGTGTGTGTGTGTCTGGGGTGGGAGTGGGGAAGACTGCAAATCAGAAAGAGAAAGGGGCCAGGTCCTGAGCCTTGGCAGGCAGGCAAGGAGTGCGGACGTCATCCTGAACCTGATTTCTGAGCACTGAGGCAGGTTTCCCCACCTCTCTGTGACTCCACTTCCCCAGCTGTAGAATGGGACAATAGGAGCGCCTGCTTCATAAGGTCACCGTAAGAACCCCTCGAGGAGAGGAGACACACTGAGAAAGGGGCCAGGCGGGCACCAAGCACTCCGCGCGGCTAGCCACAGTCACGCCCGGCAGCACTGACCTGCCTCTGCCCAGAGCATGCTGGGAGCGGAGCCCCGCCAGACCAGCCGTGGCCCCGCACTAAGCAAATGCACCAAGAACTGGAGGGAAAAAGTTCCTGACTTTCTGTAACCTTTCCTTGGAGTTCAGGTTATTTCTTTAATGCATTTGTCTGCTTTAAAATTGTCTCCTTAGCCTCTCAAGGGAAACCAATATAATACACCATCACATCTCTCACCGGAGAAAAGAGAACACTTACTCTTAATAGGTGGCAATTTTGCCAGATGTTATTGACATAGTAAGTGCGAAATTTCCGCGATACTCAATGCAGAGTGCAGCAGATTAAAGAACAATGAGGCACGGAGCAAAATGAAGTTTCAAAAGCCGCGGTGTCAAAGTCGGAAGGTGTGAAAAAATCGCATCTCCGCCACCCTATTAAGAGCAAGTTCACTAATTACTCTACCCACACAAATCTCCACGAGCATCCAGAGACAGGGAAGGTTCCCAAGTGCTTTCGTCCCCTCCTGCTTGTCAGCTTTTCGGTGGCAGGAGAGAGAGAGATAGAGAGAGAGAGGGAGAGAGAGAGAGATGGAGAGAGAGAGAGAGAGAGAGATGGAGAGACAGAGAGATGGAGAGACAGAGAGAGACAGAGAGAGGAGAGAGAGGAGAGAGAGGAGAGAGAGAGAGAGAGAGAGAGGCTGGGCCCTCTTCCGTCCCCTCAGTGCAGAAGCCCAGGGAAGCCCAAGCGAGAGAAGATGGGTTAAAGGTGTCTCCGACAACTTCCAGCGCCTCTGCTGGCCAGTAGCAAGGCTTTGTCCACACCCGGGTATCAACAGGCCGGACCCTTTATGGGGTGCAGGACAGGCACTGCGTCCCCGCAATGCACCTAGGACGTGGGCATCACAGCCACCCCCTTCCCCAGCTGTGCTGGAGACAGGAAACTGAAATGAGCCACAGAGAATTTCGTGGCTGGTGCCTCTCAGACCTGGGTGCCCGCGACGAGCCCTCTGTCCCCCGGTTCTCATGCCCTGCCTCTTCTTTCTGATGTGTCCGTGGATTTAAATTGCTTTCAATTTTTAAAAAGATCATTGCATTTATCTGAAAAAGAGACAGAGAGAGAGAGAGAGAGACACAACTGCCATCTGTCTGGTTCACTCCCCCAAAAGCGGGGGCTGGGCCAGGCTGAGTCCAGGAGCCAGGAGCCCCATCCCCGTCTCCCACTTGGAGGCAGGGACCCAGCCACTCGAGCCGTGGGCGCTGCCTCCACAGTGCACAGTGCAGGCAGCTGGGATGGGAGTGGAGCTGAGAGTGGAAGCCAGGGCCTCTGGGGTGGGCTGCAGGCGGCCGGAGCAGTCTTAGCCCCTTTAGGTTGTTTTTCAGACAGTGGAAGCCCTTTCCCGATTTAAATGTGAGACCAAGATCCGAAACACAGAAAGCAGGGCAGTTCTGCTTGGAGCTGGGAGAAGTGAGAATGTCCTGGTCCCACGTATTCCTGGCTCTGTTTCCTCTCTGCTGTGGGGGCTCCTGAGTGGACCCTGCAGAGGCTTTGTATCAGGGAGCATGGGTGAGTGTGAGTGTGTGTGCCCCAAACGCACACTCATACACACACAGACATGCACCATACACACACTCACACACACAGATGTGGACCCCAAACGCATACTCATACACACACACACTTACACACACACACACACAGAAGTGGGCCCCAAATGCACACTCACACACATACACCACACACTCACTCATATACACACTCACACACATAGACATGCACCATACACACACTCACACACACATATAGCACACACACTCATACACATACACACATGCACCACACACACACAGACATGCACCACACACACACTCATACGTACACAGACATGCACCATACACACACTCACACACACAGAGATGTGGGCCCCAAGCACACACTCATACACACAGATGTGCACCACACACACTCATACACACAGAAGCAGGCCCCAAATGCACACTCACACACACAGACATACAGCACACACACATATGTACACAGACATGCACCACACACACACATATGTACACAGACATGCACCATACACACACACACACAGATGTGGGCCCCAAGCACACACTCATACACACAGATGTGCACCACACACACTCATACACACAGACGTCCCACATACATACACTCACACGCACACACACGCATATGTGAGGGGAAAGGGCCCGTGGGATTCCTAGTCTCAAAGAGACTTCTAACTCTCCCGCACTTAAAAGGCAAACCTCTGATACATACATCACACTGACCCAGCCACGGAGCCCCACTTAAGGCCTCTGACAAAAGCATGCGTTTGTTTATAATCCTGAGATTCAGGAAAACCCCACAATCTCCGACAACAGACAGACACCCCCGGCTTAGTTTTTAAATTAAGCTTTTTTATTTGGAGAGCAGCGCAGAGCAGCAGGCGGCTGTCAGAGGCCACGGGGAGAGGCCGCGTGCCCGTCCTCCTCCCCCGCGCCGGGGCCGCCCCACAGACCAGAGTACAGCACCTTCAGATCTCCCGGTTCTCCCCTCGCCGTGTGCGGCGCGTGGCCAGCTCGTGACAGCAGCTGTCAATGGAACACTCCTCCAGGTAAAAGCGCCGGCTTTCTCTGGGGGAAAACTGAGCAGAAACGAGGCACAGCCCGGCTCATTCTGAACGCAGCACATCCAAACAGACCTTGACCCCGAACAAGCTGACTCCAGGGTCCAAAGCCAGGGGCGCGTCCGTGGGGACAGCTTCAAGGCCCAGCCCGGGGGGTAACCACTGCTCATTGCACTTGCTCACATGGAGACAGCGCGGGGAGCCCAGGCCGCTTCATAGACGAGAATTCCTGCCCTTGAGGGTAGCTGGGAGGCAAAGAGGGGGAAGCGCTGACGGAGTGGGCGAGAGAGACGCCTGGCCTGCATTTAGCAAGCCCGTGGCTCCAAATGGTTTCTGCTCTGATCGCCACTGACCCCTCAGTTGAGCAGGTGGCAAGATCAGAAATGCAGTGACGTCAGGCAGTGCTGCCTTCCGGGGGCGTTCCTTTGTCAGCATCCCGGAGCCCCAAACATCCCTCATCCCGCAATGTCCTTCCCGCTATGACATCCCCAGCTCTCCCCACACACGGACCCACTCAGCTCCAGCACGAGAATCTGCTCAGTGCAGGATGGGGCATGAGGTCAAGTGCAATCCCACCCCCACAGGTGGGGAAACTGGGGCCCCCAAACCAGCGGGGATTTCGCATCTGCCCGAGAGGAGACGGGGGCTGGAGCCAGGTGAGGAGGTGGCGTCCGGGACACAGCCGAACAGTCACAGCCTCTGGGCTGCTTGCAGGCCAATCTGAAAAAGCCAGGCCCAGCTGAGCAGCTGCAGTCTGTCTGTCCTCGGTCTGCAGAACCAGCCAGTCACTAGTCCTCGCAGAACGTTGTCCCGAAGCCTGGCAGAGATGACCACGTGGGACTCTCTGGAGAGATGCCTGTTCATAACTGACATGTCGGGTGTAGCGCTTTCTTACAGAGCACACCGTCTTCACACACGTGTGACACAGGTCTGATCCCACCTGCGTGACACGGGGCCTGCCAAATCTTCATCTGGAAGTTTTCACGTGAGATGAGGGTGAGCCGGGGGGCAGGGCAGAAGTTCAGATCTGTGGATGGAACGTTAAGGGGCTCCTACCCAGCAAATGGAAAAAAAAAATAGTCCTTGTGTGTGGTTTAATTATATCACATCCAGGAACCTAAAGATATTTCCCGTTTGGGCGCCGGTTCGTGTCCCGGCTGCTCCACTTCTGATCCAGCTCCCTGCTGTGGCCTGGAAAAGCAGTAGAAGATGGCCCAAGTCCTTGAGCCCCTGCACCCACATGGGAGACCCGGAAGAAGCTCCTGGCTCCTGGCTTCGGATTGGCGCAGTTCTCGCTGTTGCAGTCAATTGAGGAATGAATCAGCGAATGAAAGACTTCTCTCTCTCTCTCTCTCTCTCTCTCTCTCTCGCTCGGTCTCCCTCCCCTCTGTCTCTGTGGAACTCTGACTTTCAAATAAATAAATAAACCTTAAAAAAAATCCAGCAAGGCTGTGTTGAGCGGCCGCACTGTTCTGGAATGCTTCTCTGCAGACTGTATTTAATTATCTGAGAGGCAGAGACAGAGAGGCAGGCAGAGCTCCCATCCGCTGGTTCATTCCCCAGATGTCTGCAACAGCCGAGGCTGGCCTGGGCTGCAACCCAGAACGCCATGCAGGTCTCCCATGTGGCGACAGGGATCCAGGAGCCTGAAGCAACACCACTGCCTCTCAGAGTCTGCAGCCACAGACGCTGCAGTCGGGAGCTGGAGCTGTGCCTGGAACCCAGGCGCTCTGATGTGGGCTAGAAGCACCTTAACCATTGGTCCAAGCACCTGCCCATGCCCTTGGCACTCTAAGAGGTACAGGCACCATGGCAGGATGACAGGGAAGACCCCAGCCTCACAGAGAGTGCCATCAAGTGGAAGGATAGACACAGGAAACACCCCCCACCACCACCACCATGAGGCCCCACTGAGTTATTTATTCTTCCGTTTGTTGAGACAACAAATGCTGACTGCGTACCTCTTCTATGCGGGGAGCTCAGGAGTTCGGCTAACGTGTGTCCAGGAGCCCACGTGCCGGCAGGGACAGACCTCGCTTGGCAGCAGCGAGCTCGCAGGAACTGGCCGTGGTGCTGGACTCGGGCTCAGGCCGACCTGAGTGACCAGACCCAGGTGAGCAGCAGGTGCGGCGCTCACCTAACCTCAGGTCGGGTTCCACATCAGTGTGCCGGCGTTCAAGTTCTCGCTCTGAGTCTGGCTTCCTCTCAGTGCACACCCTGGGAGGCAGCAGGCAATGTTCCAAATAGCTGGGTCCTTGCCACCCACGAAAGAAACTCAGATTGAGTTCTGGGCGCCTGGCTTCAGCCTGGCCCAGTCCAAGCTGTTGTGGCCCTCTGGGGAGTGAACCAGCAGATGGGGGTTTTCTCTGACTGTATCTGTCTGTCTCTCCCTCTCTCTCAAAAAAAAAAAAAGAAAGAAAGAAAGAAAGAAAGAAAGAAAGAAAGAAAGAAAGAAAGAAAAAAAAAAGAAAGAAAAGAAAAGAAAAGAAAAGAAAAGAAAAGAAAAGAAAAGAAAAGAAAAGAAAAAGAAAAAAGAGGCCTGACCTCCATGAAGGACTTAGTGGACAGACGGTGCAGCTTCAGGCCCCTCCTGCCAGGGCCGCCCCCTCCCCTCCTGAGACTTTAGGTTTCTCTGAATTCTGGTCGCTGTCGCTGTTACACAGCTCAGCTCCATTCAGGTCTTATGGGGTAGCAGCTTCCACAACGGCTGTCGCTAGGTGCGTCATCATCTCTACTGATGCTCCGAACTCTGCCTGCGCTGTGTCCCCTCGTTCACTCTCCCGACTACCTTTTGGACATGCCCTGGTCTCCAGCAGGTCCCTCCTGATCTCTCAGCCATGCAGAAGCACTGGTATACATATAGATAGATGGATATAGATACAGATACAGATACAGATGCAGATGTAGATATAGATATAGATTAGATATAGATATGGATTAGTTATAGATATAGATGTAGATATAGATACAGATACAGATATAGATATGGATGTAGATATAGATGTAGATGTAGATATAGATTAGATATAGATATGGATGTAGATATTGATACAGATGTAGATATAGATTAGATATAAATATGGATGTAGATATAGATATAGATGTAGGTATAGATTAGTTATAGATTAGATATAGATATGGATGTAGATATTGATACAGATGTAGATATAGATTAGTTATAGATTAGATATAGATATGGGTGTAGATGTAGATATGGATGTGTGTACAGAAATAGATTAGATATAGATGCATTGGGGCAAGGGAACAGCAAAGACGTAGCAAACTTGCCCAGCTCTGCGGTCTAAAAACTCTGTGTGGGGAAAGTGTGTGGGCCAAGTCCAGGGGCTGGTTGCTAACACAAAGGGCCCGCAATGCACAGCGCACACCGCAGGCGTCGCCCGGCCCGGCGCCAGATCGCCGAGTACGGAGGAGGCAGGGAAGTCCACCGGTGCACGGTGAGTCTTCGTAGAGTCTTCTTTCCACTTCCCCTTGACTCTCGAGCGTCCAGACACTCTAGGACAGGAAAAAACAAACATACAGCTTTGTAAAAACTTTTTAAAAAGCATATTCAGATAAGGAAGCTCTTCTTAGAGCCAATGAAGCTAAAAAGACGTTTTACAAATAAGCGAATGGCAGGCTTGGCCGACCCCACGCGGCCACCGAGACAGCACACACCGGTGGGGTAGAGCGGGCCTGGGAGCCAGGGCTCCACACTCGGGGGGCACTTCCTCTCCCCAAGCTTGGGGCAGTCGCTAGTAATCCGAGAATACCCGTGTTTTACCCATAGCCCCAGGTTGCCAAATCTCATCTCTAACAATTTTTGGAAAGTCTCCCCTATCCTTGGCAGCGCCGAAACGTCCCATCCCCCATTTACCATCCCGCCCACCCCCGCTGCTTTGTATCCACCTGACGATGTCACAATCAGCCTCAGCCTCCCTTCTAACTTCTTTTCCTTCCACTCAACAGCTTGCGTTTCCCAGCCCTCCTGAACACTTTGTCCTCTGATTGGCATCGCCCAAAGTTTCCCGGGGGCAGTTGGGTGGGCTCAGCTGGTTCCTGAGCGCAGCGCGGGGGAGACTTTCAAACAGGCAGATGTCAGGCGCCAAGCTGGGGTCACTTCCCAGGGTCAAGGGGACTCTGGGAGACAGGGAGAGGACAAGTCTGATGGCAGAAACACTCACAGTCGTGTGGCTGCAAGGGACAGGGTGGGGGATAAAGAGGAATAAAGAGGCCAGGAATAGAAAGACTCAGAGATGAGTCAGAGGGTGAGGAGGATGGCAGAGGGCAGGCGACACCCACGCGATGACAAACCCGCCGACTCTCCAGGTGGAAAATGTCAACGCATCTGGAGGCTCCGACCCTCACTCCGAAAATGCAAACTACCCAGGTGAGTGGGCACACCGGTGCAGGTGCACCCACACGTGTCTTGCAGTTCATTCCTGCTCCACATTTCCAGACGCATGACCAGGGTGGGGTATTAGCTAAGGCTGTTGCTGAGCTGCTTGGTCTATAACAAGGAGACGGTGGCTCAAAATTGCAACCTGGGCTTTGGGCTCAAAAAGCATGGATTCAGATCCTGGTTTCTGGACTTCCTGTGTGAGCTCAGGCAAGTGACCTTAATGCCTCAGTGTTCCCATCTGTAAAGTGGGAGTCACAGTAGCTGGCATCTTCCCCAGCTCAGGAGAGCCTAACCCAGCAGCAGCTGGCAAGTGGCCAAAGCTGTTGAAACGGTTTTACTGTCGTTGCTGTTATATCTTCAAGGCTTGTTACAGTGAGAATGGACTAGAACCACTTGTGTCTGAGCTGTGGGTAGCAAGAATCAAGGAAATCGAGCCTCCATGTTGTCCCGTCATTTGTCCTCTAACTGAATGATTTCCTTGAAATGGTAACACGCTTCGAGAGCTTCCTGATAGGAAAAGGAAGGACCGGACCAGTGTAACCTGTGGGATACATCGCTGGCTCTTGCCCCTGCTGGTCCAGGCCAGATGCACCTACAGATTCTGAGCCCAGACCCAGAGAGACATGCGGTGTAGACCCAGAGAGACACGCGGTGTAGACCCAGAGCAGCTGTCGAGATTGTGCTCTGAAAATGCTGATTCCTTGTACCGGACAGCTCCGGTCAGTGCACTGCTAACGACAATACAGCAATGAGGAGCATACACAGCTTGCTAAACATCTGGAAATCCACGTCCATAAATCGGTGTTTGTATTCCTTGTAAAATCTTACTTCTGACGCTGTTAGCATGTTCTGCTCCTATCCAGAGACTTTTTTTCTGAAATGCTCTTCTCCAAACGCCCAGCTGCCTCCTCTTTGTCTGCCCCAGTGGCCCGAGGTCTCCCAGCCTGTCCCTGCTTCCCCGACTGGCCTCACTCCATCATGCTGCAGCAGCCTGTCCTTGTCGGCATCCTTCTCTGCACGCCGAGGGCTTCTAGGGGATGACCCAGGCCTTGTCCGTTTCTCTGTCCTGCGCCTGCACACGACACAGGCAGGTGGACACGGTAGATGGACAGCTGAGTGGAGAAGCAGGGGGACCCCGAGGCAGAAGCCACCAGTGGTGTAAGAGACACGGAGTAGAGGCTGACAACAGGTCAGGGGACTGCGGAAATGCAGACGCCAAGCCGGTGAAGCCAGGTCGTCCAGTCGCTCTGGATCCAGCCGTTCTGGGTGCTAGCAGTGCCGTCTGCCCTGGTGCTGTGCGACTTTCTTGAACTGAGATCCTCAAAAGAGCCAGACACCAATCGCACTGAAAAACCATGCCTGTCCGAAGCTAAGACAAAGGTGTTTGAAAACTCAAGACATCAGAAGACGAGCAGGTGTTCAGCTACTATTGAAGAGGCCCAGTTCCCACATGGGAGTGCTGGGGTCAAGTCCCAGCTAAATCCGCTTCCAGCTCGCTGCTACCGCAGACCCTGCGGGCAGAAGCGATGGCTCAGCACCCGGGTTTTGCCACTCCCCTGAGAGACCGGGATTCCATTCCCAGCTCTTGTTTCCAGGTCCAGCCTTGTCCTGGTTGTCAGGGAGCAAACAAGGGAATGGGAGCTCTCTCTCTCTCTCTCTCTCTCTCTCTCTCTCTTTAAAACATGTTAGGGGAAACAAACAAAAAACAACCCGTGCCTGAAAATCCTCTAAGAATCCAGAATTCTGCAGGCTGTCCAGGTTGGAAAAGCTCCTCTGACTCCCCTGAATCTGGCTCAGAGCCTGACACCACATACACCCTTCCCACCACGCATGCTCCCAGGGGCGCCCAAGCCTGTGTATTTCAGAGTCAAAGCCTTACTGGGGGGTCAGCATTGTGGCAGGTGTAGCTGCAGCCTGCAGTACCACCATCCCATGTGGGCACCAGTTCGAGTCCCGGCTGCACCTCTTCTGATCTGCTATGGCCTCTGCTGTGGCCTGGGAAAGCAGTAGAAGATGGCCCAGGTGCTTGGGCCCCTGCACCTGCTTGGGAGACCCGGAAGAAGCTCCTGGCTCCTGGCTTCTGATTGGCCCAGCTCCAGCCGTTGCAGCCATTTGGGGAGTGAGCCAGCAAAAGGAAGACTTTCTCTCTGCCTCTGCCTCTCTGTAGCTCTGTCTTTCAAATGAATGAATAAATCTTTTTTTTTTAAAAAAAAAAAAAAACAAACCCTACTGCTATATTAGTTGTAATATTTGTGCCTGACTTCTCATGTATATCTTCATGCTTCCTAAATTGCCCGTTTATAACTCTTATTGAAAATGCCATTTTTCAAATCAATTCTTTCCTCCTTTAATTTAAAGACTCCAGCGTATGTCAAGACAATACACGTAATTTCAACACAGCGGCAGTTGGCAAGAGCCAAGACTTACCCTCTGTTTATATCATATTGAGATCCAACAATACCAGAAAAGAAAAATCACACACACACACACACACACACACACACAACCATGGGGTCTGAATACATCATCTTCTCATCAAACCATACATTGCAATGTGGATCAGGACAAAGTTGCCAGCTTAGACTTGCTCCCGTCCAGGGAGAACACACAGGGTATATTGAGGGTCCACAGAGCGATTGCCCTTATATATTGTCTTATTCATCCTTTGATCCCTTACAAAAACTCTCCCTTGCTTGTTCTGAGTATCAGCTTCCCTACTGGGCGCTATAGTTTGTTGAGTGAAGGGCCTGGTGTCCCTCAGGGACAAGTTTGGCAAAGACAGTTGGATTCCCGCTGTGATGTCATCAGCCTTGCAAACGGACGACCTAATAACTCACCTACCACACCGCTTAGAGCTGAGAAAGTTACTAGGGCCTTAGTCGAGTATGGATGCACCTGCCGGTTCCAGCCTTGGGTCTCCCTGACTCTTGCAAGCAGCTGGTCCAATACTGATCTGGCGCTCCCGGGAGTCGAGGCCCTCCCATTGCAACTCCTCCCTTCCCACGTGCCTTCCATTTCCGGGATGACGGGTCCCCACATTTCCCAGGAATTTTATGGACCACTTGGGCTTCCATCTGTTTGGCTGGAAACTTCTCACGCGGGACTCATTGGATTGTGGGAAATGTGATCCTTGTGCCAGACCCCGATCTGGAGCCACCGGAGAAGGGACCTGGATACTGGGGCAGCCACCAGCCTGCCAGAGTTCTCCTCCACTCTTCTCTGAAAGCTGGGAACCAGCCCTTGTTCACCCACAAACCAACAGGTCAAAGAAGAGGATTTTAAAGCTTGCTTCTCGGCGCCCACAACATACGGAGTGAAGGAAGGTGTGAATGAAAACCAAATCCGTGAAGTCTACCAAAGGAGCGGCCCTTCCAGCTTGTTAAAGATGCAGACGCTCGTCCCTGCCCGGGAAGGTTAGTTCTTGGTCATTTGAATCAAAACGTCTCTGACCTCGCGGTCTCCGCAGAATTTCCTCCGGAAGTTTCATTTTCCAAACTAACTCATCACCTGTGGTGACAGAGGCACTTTGCGCCTCCCTGTTGTCTTTCTTGAATTTCCAAACTATTCCCAGCAAACGTCCGCATCACCTTTTTCGGGGTGGGGGGGGGAGGTGGGGGAGCCGAGACAAAGCAGAGACTAACATAATCAGCAGGGGAAATTAAAGCCGGGTCACTGGCCACCGCACCCCATCGGGCAGCGACAGGACACACCTTATCAAGGTTTCGCTATTTTTTTTTTTTAAGCGCAGCTGTGTTAAGCTAAGCCAGCGAATGCGAGGGAAGGATTTACTGATTAGTTCTTGGTCTCGGCCGTCATTCGTCACGGCAGTGGCTTCTGCGACGCTAGCTAAATCAAAAATAATTTTCAAAAAACTTACAGGTGATTTGATGCGAGACATTTGACAAAGATCAGGCACAAGAAGGAGAGTTACACGTAATGATGACTCCATCCGGAGTTTTTATTTATAGCTAATGCAAACGCTAAAAAATGCGCAGCCATTAATTATTAGCGGGTATTTTTTTAAAGCCAAAAGTGCGAGTTGAATAAACGTAGTTTAAGACACTTAGAGCTGAGGCAGTCTTTATAAAATGACTAACTAAAGAGTCCCTCGGGCTGCCTTTTAAAGGCTTTCAAAGCTCTAATAGCACTTTTTCCACCAAAGACACACCCCTTGAATCCTCCGAGAGATACAATAGCATAATTGTTCTTTTAGGTTTCAAGACCTTGACATATCTGTCACGGAAAGAATAGTGAATAATAATACCAGAACTATTTTATGCAAATTCCACTTAGAGGTTTCAAGATTTCACTGAGACTGATCTTGCCCTCTTGTTGACACTTGCATTGTCACATCAGCTTTACATAAGAAAGTGGTTAGAGTTTGCCTTTTGTTAAATAATTCTCATTAAAAAAATCTTTAGATAAAGTTAAAAAACAAATACAAAAACAATGAGATGGAAACATCAATTTGGAGAC